TGCTATTTTACAAAAATCATTATTTATTGATTTCGTAAAAAAAAAAAAAAAAAAAAAAAAAAAAAAGATTATTGATATGACTTGTAGCTTTTTGTTTATCATATTTTATTTTGACATGGATTACACATTTAAAATAAAAACTTCCCTTTTACTCTGATAAAAGAGATTATGAAACATATTTTTTGGGCAAAATTATATGAAGAAATTATTTTCCTAAACATACAATCCATTTTTATTATCACTGGCCTTAAATCTAAACATTAATCTAGTTTTTATTTTTACTGTGCTAAAATTAAACCAAAGAAAACATTTATTTGTATAAGAGAAAACTTATTTCCGTTTATTTAAAATTACACTAAAACATCACAATTATTTGACTGACACAAAACAATAAAATTAACAATGCATATTTTTAGAAAAAGGGCACTCCTTAAGCAGCAAATCCCACTGTAAAAAAAGAACTGACTATGTATAAATAAATAAGTACTTTTCCATAAATGTTTACTTAATTAGCTATTTGTTGAACATTGTAGGCCAATCCATATCCTATATACTTTCATCTAAATTAATTTAACAATTTCTTAAAATTTATGTACTACAACGTATTATCTTTTTAAGTCAATGAAAAGCATGTAAATATATCAATAAGCTTAATTTTACTCAACTAGATAGAAGGATCAGTCTGAATAGATGATATATATATTCAGCTTTCTCAAATATTTTCATACATTGATTTGAAATCTCTTTTATTTTAATATTAATAAAAATATTCAATTTAGAGAATTGTACCTTTCCATGTAACTGAAATAAAAAGCTATTAAATTCTCAATAAGAATAAGTTTTTTTTTTTTTTTTTTAAAGTCTAAATGGGCGTTACATCAGATGGGCTAGTCTTGCAATGGCATTTTGTGTTCAGTAACTACAAATGGCTAAATCACTTTTCAAATTGTCGCCACCAAATATTTCCGCCCTGTATTATCTTTAAAGAAACTAAATAATGACGAATCTTCATGAATGTTTGTATCTTTCTTGCACTGTGAAAAAAGAAACAGTACCTGAAGTTATCAAACTTTGAATAACATAGTCCTGCTGAACATGTGTACCTAGAAGCCAAAATTTGGAATTTGTTTTATTGTCTATTTCTTAATTTGTAAAGCTTTTGACAATTTTTTTATTAAAAAACTCGACAATTTCAAAGTAAGCAGTGGCAACACTGTAGAAAATATTTTTATCTCCAGTGGGTGAGACTGTCTATCAAAAATTCTAAAGACATGCTGTTTTTTAATATTTTTAGCCCAAATGCTCTTGAAATGTGTATGTTTCTCCAAATGAAAACAAAAGGCCATTTGGTTATAGTATTAAATCTGAAAGCTTTCAGATTTTATATAATATTGCTTAAAAAGGTTTTGAAATATAAAACTTTATCTATATACAGCAAAATTTGTAAAAATAAAATATTTTTTAAGCTTTAATGAAATAAAAACTAAAAATTCCGTACATTTATCAGTAAAATTTGCAGAGATATTAAGAATGAATTTCCTGATGCAATTTTCCATTACAATTTTAACTTAAATTCCACAATTTATGAAAACAAATTTTGAGAAAAGGCATAAAGCAAAAATTCCTCTTTTTGTTAATTAAAATTTCTTTGTCTTACCTTTATCCGTTTTGCAATTAACTTTTAATTTTCCTTTCTGTGAATCTCTTAATCGCACAGAAAAAATTTTAATCAGTTTTTTTTGTTATTACTTAACAAAAAAAAAAAAAAAATGAAGTAGCATTTCCATATATATATGGATTTTCCCACTTTTACAATAACAACAGTAGAAATTTTATTTCTACAAGTTTTCCGACACTGAGTATAAAACAGAATTATCATTCAAGACTGTAAGATTTTCCTTTGCTTTCCAGAATATTTTTCTACAAAGCAGTCTTAAATCTTCAAAGAAAGTATGTCAACTTCCAAATAAATAAATAAATAAATAAAACTTCAGGAGCTAAAATAAATTTTGAAGTATAAGGCATTCATAAACTGAATTCTATTAACTAAGAAAAAATATATACAAAAAATTAATTTTTTTGAGAAATATTAACAGTAGAAGTGAGTAAATATTTACTTTTAATTGACAGTTTTGACTTAATTTTTCTTTCAAGAAATATGTAACCCTAATACTACATTTAGGGCATATTTTTAACATAATTTAATATTTGTTAATGGTAACCAATATGTCTTGGATTAATTTTAATATATAATGGTGCCTCACACAATGAACACAACCTGTTCTAAGATTGAGTTCATTATGAAAACTATTTATTTGGGACACTAGAGTTTAATATGTTATTCCAGGGAAGGTGTACCCACTGAAGATATAAATCTGGAACTGATGGCATTATATAATCTTAACATGCAAGAAGCATTCTGGAAATAGTTTTTATACCAGTAGAAATTATTTGGACTTAAACCTATTTTATATGCTTGGAAATATTTATAAAAAGCTTAAAATGCTAAGTACATCCTATTAGCATGTTTACTACCAACAAGATTTTTTTCAGAGAATCGAAATTGTTGAAACTTCAGATAATACTTGCAACATGTTTAAGCACTCTCATGGCAAACAAGATCAACCACAGAAAATCCAGTTTATCCTCATTTACAAAATCCATGGAATCATATTGGATACTACTTAAAATCAGACGAGCTAATGAAAGATCTCAATAAATTATGAAAGCAAGTCTATCACATCTAATGTTACATTCTTCAGAACTATTATCTACAGGCTATATAGCTCCACTACTGTACTTCTATTGCCATTCGCTAAGCTGCAATTACTTATTGACATCTGTCACATTATCTCATTTTCTACACGCTGTTAATGGAGAAAAATATAATCCAAATAAACCCGTTACGGAAAAATATTTCACAAACTCCATTTCACATCTGCATTTCCAGTTCTTCCAATAAGGACAATTTTGATACTGAATAGTATATTTTTATGAACTGTTCATAAAAGTGCTCAGTGTAATGCGAGTCATTAGACCTCAAAACAAGATATACAGTACAAAGTCCAAAATCCGGACGTCTATTATCCAGAATGATCTAAAATCCAGACCTCAAAACCACCAACAACGTTTTCTCGTAGGCTTTACGCACGCGCATTTGATTCCCCCCCTCCATGCATAATAAAACATCTGGAGAGTCCTGATTCTTAATTTCACTTCAACACTAAATAAAATACCTTGTTATTGAAGAAACAACTATTTTAGTATAAATTTGTATCATCAGTAATTTGGCTCTGTTGCTGCATATGTGCTTGGCATGCATCTCAAACACAAACATTTCACATAGATACATCGTTGATCTGATGCCAACCTGGCGAATCATTATTTATTATATTTTCCTTTCATCCCCGCATGTTTATCAAAACATGACAAATTGAGTAATGACTCATGTAGCGATGCCTAAAGAATTTTTTTTTTGTTAGTAATTGAATAATAAAGAAATATAGTAACTTTTTATGTTGACATTATGCTTGGTGATGATTACAGATTTAAGTTAAATGCACTAAAAATTTTTGACGAGAAAAATTTAGTAAAACTTTCTTTCCATATGCTAAAAGAAGATTTTGTTGATGATACTCATAGACCCAAAAATTACATTTAGGGCTATTTGAATTAAGAATAACTGATTTCTTATTCACATAAACCCAGAACCAGTGCCAGGGTTCGTTTGGCCGCATTGTGTCAGAGAATTTAGGACCCACAGAAACTGCATCAGGCGATAAGATATCTATCTAGCGCCGGCATACTTAAGCCTTATTGGGAACTTATTTATTCAAAACTCTGATAAGCCTTAAGCATGTGCAAGAAATAGACATAAATATAATAAATAACTAAATTAGCACAATTCAGGCTTAACTGTCTCAGAGCACAATAGAAGCAAGATAAAATTTAACGGAACAACTTGTCGTTAGTTGCCAAGCTCATGATGTATAGCCAAATATGTATAGTGAAGAATAGCAAAATTTTATGTTGATAGGTGCTAATTTTAAAGGTTTTTGGATATTGCAAAACAAAGGTGAAATTTTCCAATTAATGGATTTTATAAAGAAATGTGGAGAAGCGGTAATAAATGAAGATTATATAAAAGAAGTTTTTCATTGTGATGACAATGCTATTCAATCATCAATCAATTAATGAATGGCAAGATCTGTAGTATGGTTCTAGATCCAGAAAAAACCGCTACCGATGGTTAAGAAAATGACAGAGAAATTACTGAAAATGAAAAAACTTCGATTGACAAGTTAGTCGGAATTCTCAAAATAGCAGTTACATGACTGCAACAATGTAACTAAACAAGAGATTATGTCTGTCTACAGAATTAAAGAGAAAGTATTAGCACAAAAAACGAAGCAACTTGAATTGAAAGAAATGTTTCATAAGGTAAACAAATAAATATTAAGCTTTTTTTTTTTTTTTTTGTAAATTTTGGCACTCTTTAGATCATAAATACTTCATTATTCCATAAATTATGATTTCATACTTTTAATTTTATAATTTCTACATGCCATATTACTAGATTTAAACTGATGATCTATTATCAGGAAAAATCCCAAATCGCCTAAGTTCTGACGAGTCCGGATTTTGGACTTTGTACTGTATTGCAAATTGGTACAAAGCAAAGAAATTGACATCTCATTATCAGTCTTATTTTGCAAAACGTTAATACAATTTAAGAATTTAAAAACATATATAAAGTCCCCAATTGCAAATAAAAGCAAGATTTTTATTTAATAAATTCCAATTAATGCTTTTCAAAACATAATTCATATGGACCAACTTAATTAATTTTTTAATCTATACATAAAATACCTCAAATTTTAAATGTTTGTATTATCAGTTTATTTTAATACTGATTCCAGTGCTTGTTCTGCTTCTGTCGTTTAAACGTTTTGCAAATTTTTTTTTTTTTTTTTACTATTTAATTTAGGCAATATTCTTACTTGTTTTTTCTTCCTCATTATCTCCAGTTTCTGAGCCATCTGGATTTGCCTCAATCTTTCAGCTTCTTCTGCTTCTCGTCTGAGTTTTTCTCTATGTTCTTCTCGTAAAGCATCTAATGCAGCTCTTGCATCACGAGCTTGATTTAACTTATCCTGTAATCTCTCATAATAGGCTGATAAAAGAGAAATACAAAAGAGAATTAATGACAATTAATATATTACATTTGTTATATTCTAAAACAATACAATCCTGAACACAGATGATTTTTTAATCATCATAATAATACATTTATCATGTATATATATATAGAAAAAATGTAGCTTTTACATACAACAGAGTATGAATTATCTGAACTATTTTGAACATCCCAATTTTAAGTCACATTTCAATTACAGTTTTACAAAAGCCTTCAAAAATATGCACACATATATGAAAAGATTTTCAATAAGAATTCAAAAGCATCTTCACAAGCAGCCTTGACACCTGCATAGTCAGAATAAATGTGCTGCAAAGCAATTTATTTTGGTTAAAATATCAGGTAAGTGCAAAAGAATCATAATATCTTTTGATGTTAAAATAGATAATGCTAAACACATAATAGTCCTAGCAAAAGAGCTTATCTTATCAACTAATTTGTGGCCCAACTGTATAAGAGAAAAGCTATTCTTTATTAAAGAAAATAATAATAAAAAAAGGCAGAATAGTTTTCAAGGAACTCCTGTATGACTTAAGAATTTCAAATTTCAGCAAGATAAATGAGACATATACTAAAATGTAGATCTATGGTTCTAGATCTGGAGTCTAGATCTATGGTTCCCAATGAGATTGGTATACACCCCTTAGAGGTCGACGATGACAAAAAAGTCCATTGGGGATCAACAGCCGAATATGTATCAGCAACTGATTGGGATTACCAAGATCTCATTCAATACAAAAGATTTATTAATAAAATTGAAAATTAATTGTTTATTGATATAAAGCTATACCGTATATTATGGAAGAAATCAAACAAAATAAACATAAGAGAAAAATACACAAAAATTATATAATATATTTTTTAAATCAATAATACTTTATTAAACTGAGAAATGTTTTAAGTAGTAAGTGCAGTTGATAAAAGTAGAGTACAGGAGAACAAAAGAACACAATAAAAAATATGAAGACCATTACCATTTGTTGTTGGTAAGACAGGCATGCAACCATAATGGTTTTGATCTGCAGTTGGATGGCTCAAGGCCTTAGCAGATGTAAAGAAATAAATGCAGAGTGCTGCCATATATGGCGAGAAAAATACTGTTCAAGCTGATCTCAGCAGGCAGAACTGACTAGAATGAAGTGGCACCATATAGTGGCAGTAATCTTCATGAGATGGTAAAATCCTTGAGGAAATACAATAAAAAGGGTGCTGAATAGTAGAAATATGAAGAAAGCAAAACTAATGAACAACAACAAAATCTGTATCTATTCTGAATGGTAGAAGTATGAAGAAAGCAAAACTAATGAACAACAAAATTTGTATCTATTTTGAATGGTATAAATAAGAAGAAGCAAAACTAATGAACCACAACAAAATCTGTATCTATTCTTTCACCCATGGCAACCGTTGAAACTTAACAAAAGTTAAGCTAAAATGGCAATTATGTCATCAATGTCTCACAAAAATGATCAGCCACTATAATTTTGTTGTTTTTTTAAGTGATAAAAGAAAAGCTTCTTGAATAAATATTTTCTTAGCTCTCTCTCTGTACTAAATAAATTTGAAAAAAATTAAATAGTAAATTTGAAAAATAAACTTTTAGGCTGAAAGGGGAGGGGAAGATCACAAAATTACTCACGACATTTTCATAATTTCTAATTAAAATAGTCTGCAATAAATAAAATTTTATGGAATTAGTTTTGATAAAGAAGCTGGGCAAAAATCTAAAAATCATTTGCTTTTATAATTTGAATTTTCTTTTTAGAAAATATTTGTTATTTTAATGTTTTCTTGCAATGGCTTGGCCACGAAATGAAACATCATTAAAAATCTGTATATTAGTTATTGATTTGCATAAAAGGAAATCTATTAGGAAAATTGCCTATTTACTTAAGTAATTCTACAGTTTTTGATATTAATAAGCATTATAAGCAACAGGATCGTATTCAAAACAGAAGAAGACCTGAAAGACCATCTAAGTTATCTGATGGAATGAAACACTTTATTCTAAGGAATATTAAAAAGAATCAAAGACTGAGTGCTCCTAAGCTTGTAGGGAAACTTCATGAATTATATGGAATATGTATAAATCCAGAAACTGTAAAGTGATCTGTAGGATATCATGGGCGAGTAGCAAGAGAAAAATTATATGTCAGTAAAAAAAAAAAAAAAAAAAAAAAAATTTCACTTAAAACCTGTTGTTTGCTGATGGAAGCAAATTTAACATCTTCGGCTCAGATGAGAGCTGATGTGGAGAAAACTTAAAGAAGAGTTTTGGAAGCAAAGCTTAGTACCAAGTGTTAAACACAGCAAAGGAGGAGTTATGGTATGGGGGATCTACGGCACAATTTTGGTGTTGGAAATATTGAGTTTATAGATGGTATTATGGGTCAGTATAAGTATCTTGACATCTTGAGTGAAATTTGGCATCATCAGCTTAAAAATTTAATATACAAAATAGTTTTAAATTCTACCAGGACAATGATCCAAAGCATACTGCCTACAATGTTAGACTCTGGCTATTATATAAGTGTCTAGAAGTAATTAAGACACCACCCCCAGTCACCAGATCTTAATCCTATTGAACATATTTGACAGGAACTAGAATAGAAAATTCAAAAATCAAAGTATGTTGCAGTGATTCAAGACGAGTGGCATAAAATAAGTCAAAAAATAACAAAATACTTGTGGAGTCAATTCCGAAAACACTAAATGAAGTGATTAAAAGTAAAAGTAATTCCACAAGATATTAAGAAGATTAACATTTTTGGCCGCTACTAAAAGTGTCAGATTATTTTTATGAGAATATTTTTCCTTGTTAAACAAATGATATTGATTTTTAAATTTAATTTTCAGCTTTTCAAAAATGTATTTACTACAAAAAATGTTGAATTTATATATAATCAAAATAAAAGTCTTTCTTTTTATTTTAATTTATTTTAGTTTTTATGATCATTAAAGAATAGAAAAATTCAAAGTGTCTGATCATTTTGTCATTGGTGTGTCACCTTTACATATGACAAGAACACTATAAGCTAATTGCTGCTCCTCATGACTTTCTCATATTTAAAAAAAAAAGAAAAGCAATTCCAATGACAGCATTTTAGATTTATAAATGCAGTCTGTATGCATAGAGATACAAAACATATCAAAGACTTAAAATACTTATATATCAGGTCTGTATAAAAAGATATTGAACTTGTTATATCATACTAATTCAGAAGTCAAAAACAAAAATCAACGTTATATTTTCAGATTTTCACAGAACTAGTTTCGATGGTTTTACCGAACCACCATCCTCAGCTGCAAAAGTGCAAATGTATGAGATAGGATATAATGATTAGATAAGATAAGAAAGCCTGGACAAGAATAAGCAAGTGGCGCCATCTGTTGATGAAACCAGAACTAAAACATAATTTCTTTAAAGGCCGAAGGCAAAGATGGATTGGAATTAGGATCGTTAACTAGAACAGAAAGAAATTTTTTTTTTTTTGAATGTGAAATGCCTCTAGAAAATCCAGTTCTCCAATGGAAGATGTTTTTTGAATAATTTTGGCAGCAGAAAAATTGAAAGTGTGATTTTCGGACCAACAATGTTGGGCAACAGAAGACTTCTGTGTTTCCTTTTTTTCTAACATATGCCTCATGTTCTTTAATGTGAAATTTTAAGGCTCCTTTAGTTTGGCCAATGTAAATTAAACCACACTGGCAAGGAATCCTATAAATACCCCAGAATTCATATCCAGAATGGGGTCCTTGAGTATGGAACTCGGAATTTTATTGATGGGAGAATAAACACCCAAAAGTTAAATTTCTGCAAAATATGTGCAACTTTATAGCTAATGATGGAAAGAAGGAATGACAACAGAATTTTTATAATCTCCTAAAACAAGAGTGTGGCCTTTTAGTGTGTTGAGATGAGAATTTTTTAACTGCTTGATTAATATTGTTGGGTGAAAAGCCCTGTCAATAGCTATTGCTTTTAAATAATTTAGTTCTTCATCAAGGGATAGTTTGGAGGAGCAAACTTGAAGAGCACGGAAAACATAGGAATAAAATGAAGCTAACTTTTGTTTAGTCGGATGACATGATTTAAAGTGTGGTGGAAGGCAACCGATGAAGGTTTACGGTAAACTGTAGTACTGAAGTTGGATGTGTACGTGTGACCAGAATGTCGAGAACGGAAGAGAATTGAAAGTCTCAAGTTCAAAAGGAACGAATAGCAGGATCAATAGAATTCATGTTGAAAGAACTTATTTAACTCTCTTATTCCTTCAACAGGGTAATTACATTGGCCAACGAAGAACGCCTTAAAATTTTCCCATAAAGAACATGAGGCTTGTTAGAAAAAGAAACACAGAATCTTTTTTGCCCACATTGTGGTAGAAAACACACTTTCATTTTTTCTGCCAAAATTGTCAAAAAACTCTTCCATTGAGAACTGGATTCTGGGGATTTACATTCAAAAAATCTTTATGTTCGAGTAACGATCCTATTCCAATCCATCTTTTCCTTCGGCCCTTTAAGGAAATAGTTTTAGTCTGGTTTCTCAACAGATGGTGCCACTTGCTACTTGCCAGGCTTCTTATCTTATTAATCATATATCTATTCATGCATTTGCGCTTTTGAGCCGAAGATGGTGGTTCGGTAAAACCCATCGAACTAGTCCTTCGAAAATTTGAAATAAACGCTGATTTTTGTTGTTTGACTTCTGAATTAGTATTTGTTCGGCATGTTATTGTGTCTTAATTGTTATATCTTGTTAGCAATGAACTAATACAATAGAATTCGAAAAATTGGTGATATGTAGCAGTAATTTTAAGCCTGCTGGTTGAAATATGAATGATCTAAAAAAATGATGCATTTGCATAAAATCTGAATGAAACTAGCCAATATTTTTATTAAGATCTTACAGATATTTTTGGAGTATGATATTCAAAAAATTAAGGATTATTAATGTTTATTAAATAAGGATATTTAGATATGAAAAATTTCTCATTAGGATCCCAACTAAGGATCTTCCAATTGCTAGCTAGATGTGATGACCACTTGCAGCACACAAGAGCACATATAGAGAAACGAAATAATTCTTTACAGTCTTCCTCAGGTAAAGGGCCAAAAGCAGGACTCCAGGTGGTGACAAGTTACTGTCAACTACATTGTGAGCACAGAGTTTGTATGCTTTTTGATGCAGAAAACATGAAAAATCAAATTCACATGCACTGGGATTCGAACCATGATCTCCCAGTAGGTAGCTCAATGTGATAACACTCTACACTATAAAAACAGCTGCAAGAGAATGTCATTTTCCTTACAAGCTTACACATAGTCCGATTTATGCAAAGGCAAAAAGGATACATGCCTTGGGCCTCTAGTTCTTCCTGTAATATTGAACATATACAAAATGGTGTGTATCTTTTTTCAATCCCAAATTTTTAAAACATAAAATTAGGAACAAGAAAAAAATTTTTAACTTCATTTTTTAGTTCTCCATGTCTTTCTTCAAAAGTACAACACTTTGTCTTGTCCTCTATTCTCAAAGTTATTGCATATTTTTACAATTTTTAAGCCAAGTATGGCAAATTTCTCTTCAGAAAAAAACTGGAAAAAGAATAGCAAGGGGGGAAATAATTCTACATTTTATTTAAATACTTAATAATTAAACTAAAAAAACTATTAATTTTGTCTAATATTTCAATTTGACTAAGATTTGTAGTAAGTATTATTTAGGTTTCATCTCTCTTTCTCTCTCTCTTTTTTCTTTAAATTTCTTCCAAGAGGAAAAATCCAAAAATATGTGGATTAAAATGCATAAATTTACACTTTGTATGACACACAATATCTTATATATATGTGGCTTAAGTGTCTGTTTGTCACCGACAGTTTATTGGTTGCTTGTGTAACTGTACTAGTCAATAAGGTGAAGTTGCCACGGCATTCAAATAGTCCACATACACTGATACCACACATGCAGTTATCATTGTTTTAATTAAATTATCATGGTATTTAAGAACATTTAAATATTTTTAATTCATACAATTGTTCATTATTATGCATTTAACTATATTTACATATGAATTACCTAGAAACTTGCAAACATTGAGAAATTAAAGGAGAAGAAACCAACTAACAAGATGTGCGTAGTCCATCTCATCAGGTAAGTTTACCCAAACTCCTATGCTAAATATCCTTTCATGTAAAGAGTTTAAAAATTTGCCCGATTTTATTCCGACATTGTATTTTAAATTGAATTTTCAGCTGAACGCAAATTGAGCATGTCAGGGGGAACATGAACATTTGTTTGCATTAGCAATAATCTGTTTTCGAAATTGTTTACAACTGAACGTAAGAGTTTGTGAGTTCCTGTTCAAGAGTTCGTGAGAGAATGGATGTAAAAGTAAAAATAATTCATGGTCCTCTGCAAGGCAAGCTTAAAAATGATGGAAAGATCTACACAAGAAATGTTACGTACAAAGAGATCTTTGACATGTGAATTAACATTTTATTATTTAAATCAGCTTTATTTATTGAGTTAACGATGGCTCTTAAGAAATGTACCGTCAGTGGTTTCCCTTCAATGCACTCTACTTTAAGATATTAAGCACGTAGAAGGAGGGACCCCCATGGGGCAGTAAGGAAAGGGGCGTCCTCGCCGCCTGCCCTGGGTAATTCAGTTTGAATTTAGCAGACACTTTTGCACAAATCATTTTAATTACAGCTTATAATATTTAGAACAGCGGTTATTTCGTATGACCGTCAGGCTTTCTATTAATGAAATAATAAAATAAAGCATAAAAAATGAATTACTATCTCTTCAAATATTTCATATAATTCACAAATAAAATCAATATTGAAAAAAAAAAATTATGAAGGGAGAAGAATACAAATGATTTTGTTCCAGTTTTAAAAATTTTCCCATTAGATTACAGAGATCATTCTTTAAGCTCTACACAGAGTTTTGAATGTTGGTAAAATACTACAAAAAATGAATACAAAACTAGATACCTTTCAAATCTACATGTTACAAAAAAGGCATGCTTTTCTTTAAGAAAATAGATTCATGTATGACTCTTACTTTAGCAAATATATTACTTTCAATTAATTTCAGAAAAAATTACATAAATAAAAAATTCACAGCAAATCTTATTACCAGTGTCATTTTATAAAATTGATAAAAGTTATAAAAAATTATTACATTTAAATTATTAAATTGAATCTACATATATGTATTGCAAACTGAACAACCTCTTAAATCATCCTGCTCTTGAACATATTTCAAAAGTTGGGAATGCATGTTAGTTATATTCATGAAAAGTGCCTGCACATGAGTATCATTAGCTATGGGTCTTCCTCTGCTAGAGTTGCTTTTCATCCGATTGACGAAGATTTCAACAGTTGTTCGTAGATTTGCTAAGAAATCTGCAAGCTCATCCACATCTCCATTTTGATATTTCTAAAGCAATTTAAAAGGTATGAGAAACAAAATACCATTTTTAAAAACCTCTTAAATATTACAAAATGCATACAAGCTTTTTATACAACATCCAGTAACATACAAAAGATTAAAAAAAAAAAAAAAAATTGATGGCAGTGTATTCAGAGATGTCCAAAGACATTTTTTTAAAAATATGTTCAAAACATAATTCTCATTATTAGTAAAATGTAACAAGCTTTTGCTCTAAGTGAATTTTAAATTATGGATCTAAGTAAAGACATAGTTGCTAATTTGGAAAATGGGTATCAAACCTGCATCATTATCATTGTATGCAATATAACTTACAACATGCAATGATATGCTATTTATAAGTAATCAATAACTTAATATTTTGCATAAAATATGCAAAAATATTTCATTACCTTACCAACAAAAATTAATTTTCAATTAGTGAATATTTTATGTTTTTATATAGTTAAATCTTTTAATAATTAACCCTCTAAGCTGCTTGATCTATTTATAGTCTGATTTTCACTTTGCATACATTACCTCATTCTTAATTTAATTTATTTATTTATCTGAATTTTTCTCTCATCTTCTGTAATGATCCTCATGTCAGAGGGGTTCCAATCCAATGCCTGCACCCTTCGGTCATTTAACGTGTGCCTGCCACTGTGCGATCACAATAAAAATGTTTTAGTTCTCAATAAAATTCTATGTGAAAGTTTTCTCATTTTTAATGAAACAGAAATTATGTCCAACACAGATACCACCACAAAGCAAAATGTGACCATCTCTTTTTTTTATATACATGCATTATTAACTCTATCACACTATAAATTTGCAATTAAAAAATAAGTAAGCAAATGGTGCCCGCCGTCCAACAGATATTCTACAATGTGCTCTTAGGAACAAAAAGGTTGCCTACCCCTGTGGTAGTATATAAACCAGTAAAGTAAATCATTAACAAAATCAAGATGAGTACTTTAGTTAGATCTAAAAACCTCTGAGGGCTTAACAAGTTATTTTTGTTTTCTTAACTTTAAATTTAATGCAATTAAAAGAGTCTTCAATGCAAATGAACAAACCATTTTCACCTTTGACTTCCTATATGAAACATGGCCTTGTATTTATATCAGAAAGTTTGTAATGATGCAGTATGCTATTTATTGCTTTTAATTAATTATTTATTTTTTGGATGGCAAGACTAAAATTGGATGTTGTCTTAACTGCTTCTTTTCCCCACCATTTTATCTCCCACATTTCATTTAAAAATAGCATTATAGTGACACCACCTATGAAATAGCTAATTAAGTACTTTTCTGTTTTGCCGGCGCAGGCGATAATATCGCCAATAATGGTACAACTGATATCAAACGGAATACCCTCGCTGGTAGCCTCTTATGCCTCATTTTCAAAACAAGTAGCACTTATTTCTTATCAGATTAATTGTTTCTTTCAACACTGCCATACAATTACATAGAATTTTTACCAGATAGTTAAATTTTTATGCCCTAAGGCCATTCGCAGTAATTAAGTCAATTAGGATGCAATCACACCATTCACTCGAAGGCAAAAATATAGAAAAGGCAAAGTCAAGGGTTAAACTTATCAATTCTAATAAGAATGCACTAGCGAAGTAAAACATTGCGGATTTACATAATTTGAGTAAGCTGTTTGTATGAATTTAAATAATTCTTGCATTTGAACTTGTATGACAAATAAAGATTTAACTTGAAATTAATGTAGAAAATTACTGAGAGAGAATTAGATTTTTCTAGCGTAGTTTACGTAAGATGAGATCACTTGGGTCACGTGATATGAACCAGTGAATAAGGATACTGAACCATAAAAGCATTGTAAATTCTTAAATTAATGTCTTTTTAAAAATATATTGTCTTTATTTATTGGCTTTTTACAAAATTTTAAAAGATATTAAAATGTTTATGCCTGCAAAATAAAAAAATCCTTAAAACAAACATCTGTTAATATTTGAACATTCATTGTAATTCTAAGAGTATTTTACAGCTTTTGGGGAATTAATGTCTTCTGAACATGGTAAGATTTTCATCTGCGCTGCCAAATTTTATGTATTATATGAAAATTCCAATACTGTTTTTGAAATGGGCAACAGTTTTAAAACAAAATAACCAATATTTATTTTCTTAAGTTTATTTTTAAATTTTCATGTTTAATATTATTATAAACCAGAATTTATTAAAAAAATGCTAAAAATCTTAACCTTATAGTCTTGAGGTTGCAGATATCAAATACTGTTATGAGAGAAATAGTAGAAGTATACATTCATAAAAGTATATCTTTTTTAAAAAATTGCACTAATTGAAAATGCTATTGAAAACTCCTCTTTTAATTGCACCAGTTGAAAATGTTATTCAAAACTCCTCTTTTAATTGCACTAGTATACTGTATGTTGTCGCCAATAAAGCCTGCTTGGCGAGATTTGCGCTGGCGAAATGGAAAAGTACCACTAATTAATTATAAGTGGTAAATCACATACCGCATCATTACTGAAGGTTTTATATAAGAAGATTTTTTCAATTATTATTTTTTTAATCTCATTAATATTTAAAAATTAAACTTGTTTTGATTATATTTTAACAGTCTATCTTCCTTCATCCGCCAGTTTACTCACCAGACTAAACACTCTCTCATGCTTCTGTTTTATATACTAAGTATGAATAAGCTAATTGGTTAATCACTAATGACTAACAACATAAAATGTTAGACCTTTATAACATTAATGAATAGTAAGTTAATCAAAAAGAAATGACACTTTTTTAACCATATTTAAAATTTTCATTCAAGTTAAATTTGATTTTCATTTCCTTTAAAGCAGTTCCTTTCTGCATTTATGCATCAACTTTTTAATAGTTTTTAGCCCAAAGGGACAATTTGCCTAGAACTATTAATTTCGGTTCAGCATTTTGCGTTGAAATGTCAGTTCACTTTTCAAATTGTTGCCAGCAAATATTACAGCCCTATACCATAGAATCTACATTCATAAAAGTATGTATGTTTCTCTCATTGTAATAAAACAATGGTACCTACAGCCATCAAATTTTGAATAACGTACATTTCCACCCAAATATGAGCATTTGGAATTTGTTTTATTATCGATTTCAGATTTTGTAAAACTTTAATGAATTTTTGATTGACAAACTTAATGATTTCAAAGCGAGCAATGGCAATACTGTACGAGAGAAAAAAATTTTATCCCCAGTGCACGAGACTGTGTATCCAAAATTCTAAAGATATGCTCATTTTAAAGTTATTTTGCGATCTTGTTGTTGAACTGAATTTTATGGTTTAAGTGACATTTAATAAATAAAGGTAATACAAAAGATGTTAAAAAAATGCCCCTTTGGGCATAATGTAAAATCTAAAATTTTTATACTCTTTTTTTTTAATACACGCGCATTCTTTAATGCAGCTTTCCTTTAAATACTTGGAAACAAAACTTAGAATTCTCACAAAGTGCACAGCAAATTCATTACTATGTTCCAAGACAGTAGCTACACACTTGACGTGAATAAAAATTACCTCAGCCTAGATCAAAGGGCAATAAATTGAATTAATTCTTAATATATAACCTTTGAATCCAGAATAAGTGAATTTCTTTCCCAATTTTAGTGATTACTTAAATCTATGACCTATTTTCCGATCCTTAATAACATTTTCATATAGTGCAATTAAAAGAGGAGTTTTCAATAACATTTTAACTAGTGCAATTAAAAGAGGAGTTTTCAATAACATTTTCAACTGGTGCAATTAAAAGGGGAGTTTTCAATAGCATTTTCAATTAGTGCAATTTTTTAAAAAAGATAAAAGTCAAATGCGTACTTCTACTATTTCTCTCATAACAGTATTTGATATATGCAACCTCAAGACTATAAGGTTAAGACATTTTTAGCCATTTTTTTTAATAAATTCTGGTTTATAATAATATAAACATGAAAATTTAAAATAAACTTAAGAAATAAATATTGGTTATTTTGTTTTAAAACTGTTGCCCATTTCAAAAACAGTATTGGGAATTTCATATAATACCATAAAATTTGGCCAGCGCAGATGAAAATCTTACCATGTTCAGAAGACATTAATTCCCCAAAAGCTGTAAAATACTCTTAGAATTACAATGAATGTTCAAATGTTCAGTATTTTTAACTTTGTGCTAGTCTGAAGGAATCACTTTCAAGCTTAAAATCACTAACCACTCAAATGTCTGATAAACTTCAAACACATATACTTGCATCTTAAAACAACACAAAAACAATGAAATACCTCATTTATTCGATTTGAAGGCACTGAATTTGAGACAGGTGCACTTGGAGTAGGACTGGTTCTTGTTTCAGTTGGAGATGTAACAGTTTCATCCTTTGTTTGCTGTTGCTGCTGTTGTCGCTGTTCCCAGTAAGAACGATTTAAATACCGATCAAGTTCAGTATCAACCGGAGAAGGTTTTTTCTCAGGAGCAACAGTTTCCTATTTAAAACACAGCGAATATATGTTTAAAAAGTCATATTCGTTTCTCGCACACAGGAAACTTTCAACAAAAGAAATTTTAAATTCTGTCAAAAATTATATCACTCTTAAAAAAGATACACCAGTTTTAGTTCAAATCTCGGACTACAAGCTATTACAGATATAAAAAATAATAATTTGTTCAATAAATTTCTGCTTCCTGTTGCAACTATGCCCTTAAACATACTTTTCATGACAAATTTAGTTCTACATTTTTTATTAGTCCAAAAGGGCTTTGATTCCTGAGAGATCATTGTTTTCGTTTTGCGTTTTTGTGTTGAATCACTCTGAATGTCCGTTTCACTTTCCAAACTGTTGCCAAATATTATCGCCCTATATTATATTTGAAGAAATTAAATAATGAAGAATCTGCATAAATGTATGTATGTATGTATGTTTCTCTTACTATGATAAAACAACGGTACCTAGAGCCGTCAAATTTTGAATTATGAAATCCTCCACCAAATATGGGCATTTAAATTTGAAATTTGTTTTATTATCAATTTCATATTTTGTAAAACTTTAATGAATTTTTGATTAACAAACTCAAAGATTTCAAAGGAAGCAATGGCAATGTTGTGGAGAAAGCACATTTTTATCTCCAGTACGCAAGACTGTATCGGAAATTCTAAAGATATGCTCAATTTAAAATTATTTTGCGATATTGCTCTTGAACTGAATTTTATGGTTTAAGTGCGAAGAACATGATATTTAACAAATAAAGGTAACACACAAAATGCTAAAAAAAAGCCCCTTTGGAAATAATTTAAAATCTTAAACCTTTCAGATTTTTTTTTATATTTTAAATCGTACAAATATATAGACATCTTTATGCAATGCATTGCTCAAATTAAACTTTAAATATTAATCAATTCTTATTCTTTTATATTTTTATGGCTCTCTAAAATTTACTAAACAATAAACTGGAAGCTATACATGATTTATCTATTGTTATTGCTCTAGTTGTTGCTTTGAATGCATACTGAAGACAACAAGCAGGCAGTATCCATTACACCAAATATTAAAAGAGTATATATGGCAGACCTCCTAATTAGCATGATTACCTTCACAGCTAATAAGATAACAAGTAATCAGATCACCACTAAAATTATCTTGGTGAACCCTCATTCAGATTCAGGTTTAAAAAAATGTTAAAATAACTATAATAAATAAATAAGTAAATCACAATATTAACAAGAAAAAAAAAAAAAAATAGAAACTAAAATAAACAATGCTGCTTTTAATATTACCTCAGGAATTGCAAAAGGAGCATAGGATGATGATTTAGATAGTTTTTGTTTCTGCAAGAGGGGAAAAAAATAATTTTAGAATGTTTAAACAAAAGTATCAGATAAGCAATTTAACATTAAAATTTGCAAAATACCTTAACACGTATTTTTTAAATGACTTAAAGGAGAGATGAAAAATTAGCAACCGCCTTCACCGGGAATCGAACCACAGACCTTTGGAATACCAGCCCAGTGTGTAGAACCACCACACCATGAAGGCACACCAGGAAGGTAGGAGAAATACCTTATATACACCCCCTTTTAAAGGGCGACTAGGGTTTTTAGAGAACCCAATCGCCAAATTCTGGGTGAGAAGAATCATCTCCAACACCCTTTTTTTAGTTCGAGCGCACTTGTAGAGTCATTAGATTAATTGGAAGGAGGAGAGATGAAAAATCAGCAACCGCCTTCGCCGAGAACCGAACCACAGACCTCTGGAATACCGACCCAGTGTGCAGAACCACTACACTACGAAGACACGCCAAGAAGGTGGGAGAAATACCTTATAATAGCATTGACTTAAAAGTTCCATAAAATTAATTTCAAATAGTCAGGTAAAAAATATGGATATGCTTTTATAACGAAAACCTATTAATAGCAATTAAAATGTTATTATAATTAATAACTGCTAAACTATGGCATAAAATAGAAAATCAGAAAAAACTGTTCTGGAGCCAAAGAGCTAAATATGTGGTTATCACATTGGGTATTAATTACATTAATGGTGTAATGATAATGTATAAAAATAATCAGTTATACAGTCAAAAGTCATTAATCCAGACTCGTCGGGACTTCGGCGATTCCAAATTATCGATTTTTCTGGATTATAGATTATCAGTTTAAATCTGGTAAGAGGGCATGCAGAAATTATAAAATTAAAAATATGAAACCATAATTTATGAAATAAAGAACAATCATAATCTAAAGGGTATCAAAATTTACAAAAAAAAAAAAAAAAAAAAAAGAAGCTTAATATTTATTTGTTTCCTTTATTAAACATTTCTTTCAATGTAAGTTGTTTAAGTTGCATCGTTTTTTATGTGATAATACATTCTCTTTAATTCTATAAACAGACATAATTTCTTGTTCAGTTACAAAGTTTCACTGTTCAAGTCCTATAATTGCTGTGTCGAGAATACAGACTAATTTGTAAATCGAAATTTTTTTGTTTTCAATAACCTCTGTCACTTTGGAAGCGAATTATAATGATGAGGAATTTGATTTAAATCATATCAAAGATGGAGTACATTGAGATGAAATACTACATTTAGTAAGGAATTATAAGCCAAAAAAAATAAAAACATCTGCCCTGAAGATAAGGATAGTGCTGACAGATCAACTTCCAATTCATTGCGCGCTGCGGCGTTAAAGATAAACAAAGTTTAGATAAATAAACGTTAAAGTTTAGATAAACAAAGGATATGCCTTTATCCATTTTTTGCAGCAATTCAACTTTTTGTTTGATGGACATCGCAACATGCTTTCGCTTTGTAGATCCTTTGACAGCTCCAGAATAGGAAACTCTTCAGAAATTTGACATAAGCGAAAGTTCAAGCTTACTTTTCATAAAACTGCTCTTACAGTCTGCAAAAAATAGTAAGCCAGATCCAATTAGAAGATTTAGGAACAATGCAATCTGCAACATTAACTGAATTAGATAATTTTAGCTTAGCTTATACTGTCCGTTATACATTAAACGCACATTCACAAACGTATTTTGCGCACGTGCACACGCATATTCGCAGCCGTAAAGGTCTTGCGCGCATGCATCGCATTGACAACCCGTCAACCCGACGCATGCGCAGAAAGTTTGTAGCTTTGAGGTCCAGATTATAGATCATTCCGGATTATGGGTGTCTGAATTAACGACTTTTGACTGCATTACTTTTTTCAGCTAATCTTTGGAATATGGTAACAGGTAGTTTGGCGACATTTTGGTAAGGCGATAAAGGTTACTAGCTAGGACTTTAGCAATAATCTGAGAAGTACACAGTTCGAATCACAGATTATTTTGTCTCAGAGAAATGAGAGATCATGAGACATGTAATGTGACATTTTCCGGAAAATTCCAATTGGGATTTTAGCTATTAAACATTTAGAAACAATTTCGCTGCCAAAATGCAGATTCGCCCACTTATTTGTTTGGTGCTTTTTAAGTAAAGAATTGTAAAGAAGAGTAAGAAGAATTGGAATTTTGTCAATTTTCTTTGACTTTTAAGTGAAAATAAGTCGATGTGTACATGAATAAAGTCAAGAGTGTGCGCAATGCCATTTTTGTGCAATTCTGGGATTTTTTTTTAAATAGGTTGACGTGTACATGGATACCGTGTATGCACAATTCTTAAAAACGCGACAAGCAGTGGGCGGTTCTGCACTTTCTCCGAATTTTGCACCTAATCTTCGTCATGATTAAGCACTTTTGTTCCATAAAAGTTCTAGCATAAGCATAATTCGGCTAGCAGATTGTTAGAAAAAATGTTGAGTGTGTGTGTGGGGGGGGTAAAATGCCTTTACTTCGTGAAAACAAAATGGCGTCCCAAAAAAAAAAAAAAAAAAAAAAAAAAAACTAGCAGGTTGCTGGAACAGGGTTGTTCGCCAAACTTTCGCCAAGTCACCATAATCTGAAGATTCACCCTTTTTTACTTCCTTGTACGAAGTAAAAAGGAAGTATTATAATCGCGAAAAGTTTCAGGCAGCATATTTCAACGAAAATATCCATTTTGACCGCTATCGAATGCAATTTAACGATGTTTTTGCGTGATATCTGTACGTAAGGACAGAATAAGACTCGTTTCCTCCAAAAAAAATATAAAACTGCTTTAAAATAAATTCTGAAGAGAATTTTTCGTGGCGTCTGTACGAACGTATGTACGTACGTACGTACATACATAACTCGCCTAACTCAAAAACGAGTAGCCTCAGAACGTTGAAATTTTGTATATAGGACTGCTATAGCATGTAGATATGCCCCTCGTATTTTGGTTGCAATCGGCCAAACCAAACGTATATAAATATATTTATATATATATCCACTCTATTACCCGGCTCAGTAATCTCAGTTTCTTTACTCTTATATGTTTGAAAATTGTACATTTTTTTCTTTAAAAATGATTGAATTATATTGTTTTTATCTTCCGGTTAAGGATTTTATGCCTTTAGTAAATCTATGTGCAATATTTTTAGAATTATTCAATTTTAAAGTTGTTTAATTGCCGCTAAGTCTGTTTTTAATGGCGGCCATTGATGTTTACATTTGAAACAGGAGACTAGTGGATTTGTTGCCAATCTAGAGAAACTTAGCTTCGCAACAACAAAGATAACGCATTCATTTATTATTGCCAATTAAATCATGCTTAATTCTTTCTGGAATTTTTTTGAGGAAATAACAGTTTGAAGATTTACTTCGTAATTTTTAATATAGATATTTTGAGTTTTTATGTATTTTTGCCTTCTGCGAAGTGAGAACTGATTAATTAAATGAGAAATACTCAATCGTCTGTGAAAAACTGTTTCTTTTTTTGTTTTTTTGCTTAATTTCTTTTATACATCATTTCTAGCTTTATTATAGTATTTGAATAGAACATGTGGCAACGATTAGATAATTCTTTAAATGATATACATTTTGTGCATTCTGAGTTATAATATGAATGAAATATTATACTGTTAAGTAAACCTAGCGCCAGAGTGTCGCTATGGTAAACAAAGTGAATTTTAAAGAATGCATTTATTCTATTGCGGTTTATGCACTGTCGGCGAAGTAGGTTTAATTCAATCTAATAAGTTAAAATAAAATGCAAGAAAAAATGCGTATAATTTAATATTCCGTACAAGGAAGTCATGTGGTGTACACATCAGATTTTTTCTATAAATTATACTACATAGATATATTATTTTTTAAAAAAGTATGTTATTCAGAAACATGGCATTCTGCTTTTAAAACAGGCGATTTTCTACAGAATCTGCTATATTAATTTGAAAAATGATCTTACACTGCATGGAATGGTGACACTTCATTAAACTAGTAATTATTAACCCTTGTAGATGATAGAGATTTTATATGAATTGAAATAGCAGTATTTTCCAGGCATATGAAATGCCATATATCAAAAGGGAACTTTCTGATTATCTGCACCCTACGAAAAGTAGGCAACTCATTGCCGACTTTGCGAATTGGAAAAATATGTTTATTTGGTTATCCTTTATGGCTTACAAGCACCCATCTGCTCAAAAGTAAAAATAGAAACAAGAAATGATAATGAGATTATGTGAAAGGGGAACTCTATGTGGCCTATTTTTATAGCCAATGAATATTGTCCAGAAAATCGACATTTAAGTGCAAATGATATAAATATACATGCATTCAAACACATGCATTGTATGTGCATGCATGAATTGGCTACTGTTGTGTGTATAGTGAAAAATATCCCCATAACATCACAGTTTTATTCCATATTAAAACTATGGGAGCAGATAATCAAAAAGTACCAGCAAAAATTACTGCCTAGTTATTATAATGTAATGTGAAGATGACACAAAGCAAAAAATGGAAAGACTTCACTGTTACTGTTTCTAAGATCCAAAAATATATTAATTTCTGATGGTACCTCCCAAAATAAATTACAGCTTCAAATATACTATTTTTTAACAAATTTTATAAACTTATTATCTGCATTAATGATTTTGATGTTTAGTTTATCCCTACTTTTCAACAGGTGTTTATTTTTACTTAACCCTTACTAACATATGGAAGAAGACACATTTTAGAATGGATGAAAGTGAGTCCTTGAGACTCTTCCTGAAAACCGAAGGCTAGATTTCGAAGCCCTGTCTGGCACACTGGAACTGCGCTTTGGGGAGAAATGTATGAAAGACTACAGCAGGATTCAATTAAAATCCCATCAACAGAAGCCTACTGAAACACTCTAGGAGCTTGTCACGGATATTGAAAGGCTGTCTCACCTCATCTTTACGGAGTGCCTGAGGGAAATCCTGTACCTGCAGTACTTTATTGA